TTTAATCATTTTTAGGTATAACATTCAGTGGCCTTAAATATACTTAGATTATTCTTAGCCACCACTGCCCCTATCTCTAGAACTTTTTAATCTTCCCACTCTGAAGCACTTTACCTACTGAACAATAACTGGTATTTATCCCCTCTCTCATCCCATCACACCAACCACCATTCTGTTTTCTGCTTAAGAACTTGACTGCTTCATACAAGTGGAATGATATAATATTTATCATTATTCATCTGACTTTTTCATTCAGCACAATATCTTCAAGGTTCATCCATGTCATAGCAGGTGTCAGAACTACTTTCTTGGGGCTGAATCATGTTCCCTTTATGTATATGTCAAGGAGAAAAAAATTTTCCTCTATGCTAGTGATTAAGACTTACGAGCATTAACAAGAGAAAAAGAAAGAGTTTCTATGGGGGTAACAAAGGGGTTTGCTTAGGAAGGGCAAATGTGGTGTTAGAACAAAAAAGAAATAAGGAGGTTAGTGAGCATGTTGATTTCTGCCGGTGTGAGTCCTGGGGTAGGCCCAGTCCAAGGGAGTTGATGACAGCCTCCTATTCCAGAAGTTGCTACTTTAAATCCTGTTAGGGAAGCTGTAAGAAGCCTTGTTTTGCTTTTTTCCTGCATCTGCCAAGTTATAAATGTCTTTAGCTTAAAATAATCTTTTTTTAAAAATATTTTTAGTTGTAGATGGACACAATACCTTTATTTTACTTATTTAGTTTTTTTATGTGGTGCTGGGGACTGAACCCAGTGCCTCACATGTGCTAGGCAAGTGCTCTACCACTGAGCCACAACCTCAAGCCCAGCTTAAAATAATCTTTATATCCAAGAAGTTCCCCATGTATACACCACGTTTTGTTCTTTCTTTGATATGTTGATGGATGTTGGGTTGTTTCCATCTTTGTTCCTTGTGAATAATGCTGCTTTGGACATTGGGGAATAAATATCTGTTCAAGTTCCTGCTGCTCTTCTGAGTTGTCAAACTAAATGATCAGAGTGCCTCTCCAAAGAACAGTGTTATTTATTTGGGAATGACAGAGCATTGCAATGGGAATACATTTGTCCTAGTAAACTGTTAGTGAGTGCAAGGAGTTTGAGGCAAGGGGAAGCTATTAAAAAGGGAGAAATTGCTTGGCACATACCTGTAATCCCAGCGGCTTGGGAGGCTGAAGCAGGAGGATCACAAGTTCTGAGCCAACCTCAGCAACAGGGAGGCACTAAGCAACTCGGTGAAACCCTGTCTCTAAATAAAGTACAAAATAGGACTGGGGATGTAGCTCAGTGGTCAAGTTTCCCCTTAGTTCAATCCCTAATACTTCCCCCTGCCCCTCTACCGCCCGAAAAGGGGGGACAAATTGACACAATCTACTTGAATGCAAAGTTCACTGACTGGTCTTGGAGACCCAAGGCAGGGAGTTGGTCAGCTCAGTAGTGAAGATGCCCATTGATAGAGGCAAACATTCTGTTAACAGCATGTTATCTAAATTGTTGCGGTCTTAAAGAATGTCCAAAATAAACTCTGTAACTGAAATTCGTGTCTCTTTGTAAAGTATGTAAAGCATGGGGTGCACTTAGAATGAAGGGGAAATATCTTTGGGGGTTTTTAGAAAGTCTTTGTAAAAGCCCTTCTCTCAGACTGGGAAGAGCCCTCCTCCTTCTTAACTTCTCAGCTCCACATTGTCTGAGTCTGACAAGAATGCTTTGGTCTTGGTGTTGGACATTCACCAGTACACAGGAGAGGTGGAATTGTGCAATCGAATGATGATCCCATATTTGTTTTGAAGAATCACCATTCTGTCTTTCATATTCCCACCAGCAGTGCAGTTTTCTGATTTCCCACATCTTGGCCAATACTTGTCTGCTAGGGGTGTGTGTGTGTGTGTGTGTGTGTGTGTGTATGAGTGTGAAATACCATCACATTGTGGTTTGGGTTTGTATTTCTCTAACTATTAATGATGTTGAAAATCTTTCATGTATTTAGAGGCCATTTTTATTTAATCTTTGGAAAAATATTTATTATAGTCCTTTGCCAATTTTAAAATATCTGGTTCTCATTTTCTGTGTATCTGAGTAATAACTCATAATGTAATTTTCATCTAAAAATATCTTTTTAGCCTCAGGATTATTTACTTGAGAGAATAATTGTTATTTTTGTCATGATTTAGAAGGAAAATACTGAATTTGTTTACTTAAAGATTGAACCTCTCAAATGTACCATATGGAAACCTAGATTTGGGTATCAATCCTTTATTTATCAGTTACATTGCTATTAACTTTTTATTTTATTTATTTCTTTTGTACTAGGGATTGAACTCGGGGATGTTTTACCCCTGAGCTACACATCTAGTTCTTTTCATTTTTAATTTTGAGTCAGGATCTCACCAAGTTGGCTAAGGCAGGCTTTGAATTTGAGGTCCTTCTTTCTCAGCCTCCTAAGTTCCTGGGCATGCACCACTATGCCTGGACTGCCATTAATTTAAAAAAAAAAAAGCTGGTTTTGATAAAAGCCCCGATTCTTTACTTAGGCCTGCAGGTGCCCAGTGGGTAGCTGAAAGCAGGATGAAGCTTGGCATCTCTGCCTCCATCCTGAATCTGTTTCCTCCTTTATTTTAAAATTTGGATCAGGTCCCTGTTCAGCTCTGCACATAGGCTTGTTAATCATTTAATGAGTATTCACCTAAACAGCAGGCTACAGCGTTTATTAGCTCTAACTTTACCTAACCTATCTCATTTCCTTTCAAGGTCGAGGCAGAATTTGCTGCGTCCTGTTTTAGACCCCTGCATCCTGTTTTAGACCCCATTCCTTGTCCTACCCCTTCCAGAAAATCACCCCATCACCCTATGATGATATGCAGCCCCCCGAAACAGGAGTGATCAAATCATGGGAGCCAAATCGCCCCTCCCCCACCCAGGGTCCTAGGTCCCAAAGATCAGCATCCCAAGCAACAAGTGGAAGCTTCAGGGCTTCTCTGGAGCCACCTCTCAGAACCAAAACCAAAACCTCGATCCACCAGACCACCATTTGACCAAGACTGCTTGACCCTTGTCCCCTGCCCCAATTCTTCTCTGTTTAAACCTGAAACTCCTGTCAGCATCTCAAGACAGGGCCAAGATGTTGGCTCTTTCTTTCCTTCCCAGTATGGCCATGTTGACTGAAGTTTTTTACTGCTTTTCACTATTACTTTTTCTGTTTGTTTTTTGGGGGGCAAGTGGGTCCCCCAGAGTCAGGCCTTTGGTGTAGGTCTCTGCTAATAGCTTATTCTTATTTATTTTATTCAAGACAACTAAATAGTTAATCTCCTTTCTTACCCTTACATAATATTTGGGTTGAATTCTATGTTCTTTAGGCTCCTTTGGGTATCTGAAGTGATTATGTTCGTATTTATATTCAAAATTTATTTGGAAAAAGCCTGTAGTATTTAGTATACCATTTCACAAGAAAACTTCTCTTACCATTGAAGGGAAAGAAGGTTCAGTGAAGTCTGGTTATGATTTTATAAAAAAAAAATTTTTGGAAGGGCCCTTTAAAAAAATGTAATTCATATTTTTGTTTTGCATAAGCAAGATTTCTAACAACGAAGAAGTATTATTTGGCCAGGAGTAGTGGTGCATGCCCTATAATCCTGGTGGTTCAGGAGGCTAAGGCAGGAGGATCGTAAGTTCAAAGTCAGCCTCAGCAACTTAGTAAAGCCTTAAATTCCTTAGCAAGACCCTGTCTCTAAAGATCCAAAAAAGGACTGAAGATGTGGCTCAGTGGTTAAGCACCCCTGGGTTCAATTCCTGGTAATCCTCCCCACCCCCCCCAAGTAAATAAATAAATAAATAAATAAATAAATAATAGTGTTATTCATCTTAAATGAATTAAGATAGATCTCTATGGTGACCATAGAATTTAAATTCATGCTTACAAATTTTTAAAAATATATAATGAAGTATGTATGAAAATTTTATGTTCTATATCTTAGTCTATGTGTACTGTTATAACAAAATACCGTTAATTACCTGTGTAACTTACAAATAACAGAAATTTGTTTTTTCACACACTTCTGGAGACTGTAAAGTACAACATCAAGGGGCTGGAAGATTCTGTACTTGGGAGGGCCTGATTTCTGGTTCATAAATGCCATTTTCTAACTGCTTCATAACATGATGGAAGGGGCGAGGGCCCTCCCTCTGAAGTCTCTTTTATGAGGGCACTGATCTCCTTCATGAAACTTCCACCTTCATGACCTAGTCACCTCACCACAGGCCCTGCCCTGTGACACCTTCACCTTGAGGTTACAGGGGTAGAAAACCTCCAGTATCATCCTAGCAGGGTCATAGAATTAAATCAACATAGGCTAGGTTAACAGAAGGAATGAAAGCCAATTTATTTCACAAATTTCATGTGGCACAGGAGCCCTCATAAAGAAATGAAGATTCATAGAAGCAGTTAGAATCTATTATTTGTGTCCTGGATTGGTAAAGGGTAATAAACTGTGAAAATGTGACCCGATCATGGGAGGAGGCTTAAAACATAAGTTCTTCTATGAGGTCTGTAAGGGATTCTGTCTCAATGTCTCATTTTTGAAGATACAGATGTTGACTTTCCTTCTAGTTTAGGGAGAATGGCATCTTTCACACTGAAATATCTGTTTTTGTCTTCTGCTGCCACGAAACAGCATGAAGGACACGGTGATCTTCTGTGTCTCAAGTCCTTTTGATTTAAATAGTCAATGTATGAGAAGAGCATATTTTAATCCCTTCCTAAGTTAGGACTTCAATGTATGAGTTTTAGGGGGTCACAAACAGTTTTAGCTTTCTGGCAGATTGTAACTTCAGAGAACCAAGAGAGCGTTCGCGTATATAAAAGGAAAGTGCTGTGAGTTAGGTTTATATCCAGGTTTTAGGTTTTGGTAACTAGATGTTCACTAGGCAGATAAGAATGCTAGGAGAGGTAGAGCAAAGGCTTAGAAATATGAAAATTTGCAGTTGTCTTTTGGGATCAACAGTGAAGCTATTTAAGTTGTGGGCATCTGAGCAGCATGATCAGAGATTGTGTGCTTCCATACGATTGATCGTGCTTGTGATGGTAGATGTATTTTTTATTCCTCCATCTTGGTATATGTTTATTTAAATCTACTTATTAATGTTTACAAAACAAAATTTTTGTTGGAAATCTAGTGTTTGGAAAGAATAAGTTTTACTAGCCTTACAGACACTAAGTAACCAGGATTTGTCACTGCTTAGCACAGCATACAGTATCCTATGAGCAAAACTGTTTTTAGGTCCAGTTCTTCACTCTTATTATCTGGTTTGAATAGCATTATGATGTTCCGGATTTATTCATAAAGTACTAATGCATTTCTACTTTTCTTCCTCTCAAGATGAAAGAACATTTTGGCATTGATTCCCTCCCATCCATACCCTCAACTGATGGAGATTGTCAACATAGCAGATTTGATGACATGGAAAATCTTAATTCATTAGCAAAAAGCAGTCTGGATTTAGGTATGTGAGTTTTGCTTCTTATAAACACAAATTACATTATTTGCAATCTTTATTTTGTATACAAAATGGATTTCACTGACATACTTTGATTCATTTTGATGTTTTAAATTTAAATCTGTTTATTAATCTGCTTCAGAATATGCAAAAGAATAACCATGACTCAGATTTCGACTTAGAATTTTCAGATTCAGTTTTCTGAGAGGGCTACATTTTCTGAACCTCATTTTTCTTTTTATTAGAAGTATGGATTAAAACTAAAACTAGTTCCTTACACTGAAATAAGTTTCTACTAATATATTTTAAAATCTCTAATGCTATTAAGTGGTATTGTTAGATCACTGAATGGGGTGGTTAAATATTAATAAAGAGAGGCATATTTTAAACATTTATGATACATTTTATAGCCATATATTACGGTCAATTTTAGTACATTAATAACTTAGTTTCCATTAAAGATTTCTAAAAGTATTGTGCCTCTCCTTGCCTCTCTTTAATATCAGCTCTCAGCTACTTTTGAGAACTTGATTTTAAAACATAATTGTTCTTCATTCAACACTGAAATATTGAATGTCATTATAATATTAACATCCCTAGGTGAGCTGTATAGTTCCTCCATGCACTGGGATTTACAGAACTACTGTTCAGGATTTATGCTATCTTTTACCTCTTACAGCTCTATGTAAGGAAGATTCTTCCTCTATGGGCATTTCTCCTATTAAGAGATGGAGGGGGAAGAGCTGTAGAAAGTGATGTAACTGTTTTATATGAGATCAGAATTCTGTTATGTAATATCTGCAGAGTGGAGTTCTCATGAGCTGGTAATACCTGTCAGTTCCCTGTGGGTCAAGACAGTGCATGGGTGGTTACTCTTGAGTGTCTGTGACTAGATGTGTCTATCCAATTTTTCAAGATCATATGTACTTGGGTGAAAAAAGTGCCTTTTGTTTTTTGGCTCTCAAACTCTCCAGGCATACTACATTGTGAATTCACGTTTCTATGATTCTCTGACTACTGAATCCTTGGACATGAGACATAAACTAACATCAATGAATAGGCTATCTGTTTGACTTCCATTGGTTCTCTGTGGCAGTCTTGTCACTTTTAGGACCGGATCTTCTTGTGTGGGCGGCTCCCCTGTGCATTGCAGCATGAGTAGTCACTTCCCTGGCCTCCACCACGGAGGGCAGTGACAGTCCCTCTCCCAGTCTTGGTCAAAATCAAAATGTCTCCAGACATTGCCAGGACTGAGAGGAGGAGACTGGATATATGGGTGGGTGTCTGGGGAGTGATGCAAGGGGTAGTTGGGAAGAAGATAGGGGATGATCCAGTTAATTGGATAATCCAGTCCCATTGATCTGAGTCCTGCTTTGTATATCTTCTGAGTGAGTCCAGAGTTCCTTCATGTGCCTTCTGCTGCCTGTGTTAGTCTCTTATGATGCTGTAACAATGATGGCTTTAAACAGTAGGCCTACTTTCTCACTGTACTGGAGGCTAGAAGTCCTGCTTCAAGGTGCCATCAACACCTGTGAGGGCTCTGGAGAAGAACCTGTTCTTGGCCTCTTTCAGATGCTGGTGGCTTCTGTGTTCTTTGGCTCACAGCTGCATCAGTGCAGTTGCTGCCCCTGTCTGAATGTAGCCTTTTTAGTCTCATCTGGCTCTGCTCTTCTGTCTCAAAAGGACGTCAGTCATTGGATTTAGGGCCCATTTGTGTAATCGAGATGATCTCACCTCAAGATCTAACATTCATCTGCTAAGACCCTGTTTGCAAATCAGGTCACCTTTTTAGGTCTGGGACATGGATATATCTTCTGGGTGGGAAGCACCATTCAATCACTACATTGCCTGAATCTGTTACTTTGCAAGACCCTAGGTATTCATTCTTCGAGATTGTAACTTTGGGAATGATGCTAAATTCATACATCTTAGACCCGTCCTCACTAGAGAAGCACTTACTTTTAGGAAAAACTTTGAGAGCCTCCACAATGTTGTATATTAGGCAAGAATATTTAGATTAGTGCTAACCATGGTGGGTTGAGGGATTATTGGTACAGAGTTGTTAAAAATTTCATCGGCATGTGTATTGAGTTAATTCTGTTCTAATTCTCATTTTCCTCTTGAGGTCTCTGTGCAGCAAATATGACTCTACTTCAGTCCCAGACCCCTCTGTACTAAGCTGTTAACCTGCCATGTCACCAGGCAAGCCCCTGGCCTCTCCATACCTTTCCATTTCCTCAGTTGTGAACTGAAGGATTTGGTCTAAGTGTTCTCTGAGGCCCCTTTCAAATCCATAGCTTGTTATCTATTCTCTTAGTAACAGGCAATCTTAGATTTATCTATAGGACAATCTGAAAACCATTTTTGAGAACCTGTGTGTTAAGGGCTATTCTTGACCCTGAGATTAATCCAAAATGATGTATAACTATGGGCTGGTTATGTAGCTCAGTGGCAAAATGCATGCTGGGTTTAAGCCTTAGCACCACTAAAGCAACAATAAAAAAACCCAAACCAATATTGTGTTATCTTTAAGGTTCTTATACTCTTCATGAGCTATGAAACTACACCTACAAAATCACATGGCTAATAATATAAGGCATACAAGCTAAATTCCAAAGAGTAATACACTTGGTGTAGCAGAATTTCAAACAGAAAGTAATTCCATTTTCCTGTCTCCTACTGCCCTGTCCTGAATTGTACCTACAGTGGCCTTGGATGAATTTCCATCATTGGCCCCAAGAGCCAGTGCATGTACTCATCTGCAGGCCTGTCTTGTGCTGTATACTAAGCTTCTGAAGGACAGGATGTATCTGATTCTGTTACCATAGTATGCACTCAAGAAACGTTTGTTCACTGAGAAAGTGATATACTGCTCTTGGAGTTATTCCACAGCATGCCAGCCCTCTAATTTTTTTTCTTTCATTTGCTCAGTTAGGCAGTCACCCAAACCCCCCTCTACTTGGATTCTTCTTGCCTTTTTTTGGTACCATTCTGACCAAGTAATAAACCTTTTGAAAATTACCCCCTTCCTCTCTTCCTCTCCTGTAAGCATTAACTTGCATTTATCCAGAAGTTTTTTTTTTTTTTAAGCTTCCCTGTTTTTCTAACCTCTGTGCCCCTGTTTTGGCCATTACCTAACAACTGGAGAGGCCCTCCAGGACGTGATTTGTTTTATGGGCTCCTGGGTCCTGTGGTGCACTTGGAGAACAGCTCTGTAAAGTGTGTGTCAAGCACTGTGAGAGGTGAGAAATGTGTGCCTGAGCACCCACAAGGGTCCATCGAGGAGGTAGTAGAGCAAAGGGCACGGGCAGCCTTTGCATGCAGTGGGTAATGAAAAGTTTAAACAAACTGCAGAACCTGTGCAGCCCAACTGTGTAATTTAACAGACTGCTTTTACCAACAAAGCTGCATGGGAAATAGCTCTGCAAATAGAACCAGATCCCTGGTCTTAGGCCTGGTCTCTGGTTTTAGGCCATCCTGCCTGAGTCTTGCCCCCACCTCCAGGCCCTCTTCAGTGTTTGTGCTTTCTCAAAATAAAATAAAGTATAGAAGCTACATTAGACCTTTTATCTTTATCACATTTTCTACCTTAAGTTCTGTAAGAAATTTTTAAAAATCCACAAGAAGCATCAAATCAAATAATAGATGTCTATAATCTTAATAAGGATTACAATTTACTTATTATCATTTCGATCAAAGCCATGCTATTTACTATTATCCAAGGGTTATGGTTTGAACCTGGAATATCCCAGAAAAGCTCATGTGTTGAAGACTTGGTTCCCCAGACTGTGATAGAGACAGCTCAGAGGTGGAGCTCTTAGGAAGTAATTGGATCATGAGAACTCTGACCTCACTGATGGATTAATCTACTGATGGATTCATTGCTGAATGGACTATTGGTAGGAGATGTGACCAAGTTGAAAGGCATGGGTCCTTGGGGGTGTGCCTTTGGACTGTCCCCAGACTTATTCTGTCTCTGTTTCCTAGACATCATGAGGTGAGCAAATTCACCTGCCAGGATTCTCTGCCTCATGACAGGCTCACAGCACTGGACCCTGTCAACCATGGATTCAAACCATGAGCCCAAATAAATCTTTCCTCCTTTAGTTGATTTTCTCAGGTATTTTTGTCGCAGTGACAAAAAGCATATCAATCAATATCATAAGCATGACATATCAATCCTGTAAAATAGTATTTCATCATCTTCCTTATATTTGAGCTTTCATTCAACACTTTAATCACATAATTGGTGATGTTTTAAAATTTCTTCAGAAAACAAAAATTTCAAAGAAATATTTTGCAGGGGAAACTGTTTTTACCTCTGCATCCTGTGAAGCTGTGCTGTAAACCCCAGGGTAAGACTCCTGAGGGTCCTCCCCAGGCACCAAGGCTGCCTGCCGCTGGGCCCTCCTGGTTCTCCATTGCTCGTCTTGTACTTCACTCTGCGATGAGTTGTACACACTCACCTCTTCAACAGCACTGCTTTTCCATCTGTAATTATTGTATTTTCTAGAAGAAAATGGAGAACAACAAATAATTCCTTAGGTTTCTGTAAGATTTGCCAATACCTTACAAAGCACTTTGTATGTAGATTTTAGTCTCTCTCTGCATTGTTTGACTAAACAGAGCTATTTTAGGCTCCCTATTAATGTTATTTGAATAAATACCATTCCCAGATCACAGAAGGTGTTTAATCAGAAGTCTCAAACCACTTTTCAAGGTTATAAAAGATACACATGTTCTTTAAACGGGCAGAGTGATGCAAATAACTGTTATCCGTGCTGATAATAACATTAGCTGTGAACTTTTTTGATTTGCTTTCTACTTAGGAAAACAATATATTCATCTTTTTTTTTTAAACTTAAAAACTCAGTTTTCGTTTATTAAACCAGTGTCATATTTACTCATATACAAAGGTACTTGCTGGGTGGTTTCTGAATAGGAATCCTGAGGGTAGAATTGTGAACAAAGTCAAGTCTGTTCCTGGAGCTTACACTCTGGTGCGGGCAGAACATAACACATCTGAGTGTGCCATGGTATGGGTGGTGAGGGAAATCAAGTGATGTAAGTGGATACAGAGTGGAGAGGGGTGCTATTTTATGTGGGGTATGTGGTGCAGAGTGACATTTGATGGGGAAGTGAATAAATAAGTGAGGCCTCTGTGAAGATATTTGGGTAAGACAAGAAAATAATAAGACTGTGCAGATCAGCACAAAGTAGATACAAAAATTATCTGCAAAGGCATTCGTGATTTGGTTAATATCCTTCCAATTTTTTCTAGTCCACATGAAAAAATTTGGTGTACCTCTTCTTTGACTCCTCTCAGCTTCCTCCCTCCAAATCCCTCCCAGATCTGTGTTTTGTTTTGTTTTTTTTTTTTAAATACAATAAAACCATTACATTGCAACCTGATTCCCTATTCATGGAAAATTGTTGTGTGGAATCCCATGTATGTTTTGTACCTTGTGCATTATGTTATGTTCATATAGTTGCATGTGAGGATGTATGTAGACAATCTATGTAGACTTACATATATACTTATGCTTCACGGTATGCTGACCTTAACCTGCTACATCAGCACATGTTCTGTTCTGTTGTGGTGAAACAAAAGGAGCTCCTTCTAGTTTATTACAGCAAATGTAAGGAGAAAAGCATGACTTATAAATTTTTTTTATTAATATGGAAATTCTACAATATAATGTCTAGACCTAGGGGAGAATGTAAGAACTAAACTCCAAAGCTGTTCCCCTCTTCCCAGCAGCACATCCCAAGCTTATTATACCAACCATCCTAAGAAGAAAACAAAATTAATAAGAATTTTGCAAAAATGTTTTGTGGTAAATGTTTAAATAAATTGTAGTCACCTACATACCATACAATTTTAATCACCAGGTAAAAATTGGCAAAAATTCCCAAACCTGAGTTTCTTCCTATAAGACAGTTGATGGTGTCTTTTCTTTCTTTTAGTTCAATGTGAGAACTAAGTAAGGTAGCTTTTAAAAATGTAATGTTTAAAAATATAAATGTTTTAACTTGGTTATTTGTTAGTCCATGGACTGATTTTTTTTTTTTCCGAAGTGTCAGAGTACCTATAATTGGGACAGCCAACATTGATAAAGGGAAAATTTGCAGTAAGATTTGGAAACTATCATAGGAAATTATTTTGATAAAATAATACTATTACATATATATATCATATGTATATATCATATATTTGTGTATACATAAAATATATGTGTATATAATATACTTATGTATACATGTTTTTGAGTGAAAGCACATTTAAATTGTAACCTTTTTCTACTCTGCAGTCCTTTCATTTTTCACCTTAGTCCTTACCTCCACCTGACTTTGCATCTTTGTTTAATATTTCCTAGCTGAAATCGTGCCTACCCATAGTGGCTGCCCTAACTTATTGAATGCCCAAAGGATAAGTGACTGTGTCTTATGTTTCCTTTTGTCTGGATTTGTTCTTCAGATATGATGATTCCAAATGATGTCCAAGGTCCTAGTATGCTCACTGATCTTCCTGCTGTGGCTCCTAGAAGGGAACAAGAAGATTTACCTTTATATCAACTGCCCAGGACCCGAGTTGTTTCAAAGGCCTCTGTCTACCCAGGAATGCTGTCTTCTAGATATGCCACCGATGCATGGTACAGTATCATTTCTCCTTGTTTTTATGTTACAAAATAGGGTTTCTTCAGATTTTCATTTTTGGATTTTTTTGTTTGTGAATGTGTGATTTCTAGAAAATGCATGATTTTGGTGCAACACTTGGGAAATAAAATGAAAATTATGACTAAGTCTATTATATTAGACAATTACTATGAGATTTCACATAGTAACCAAAATTGGGCCATGAATATAATTTTATATTTTTGTGCACGCAATGGATTATAAAGAATATTTTCTTATAGAACGAAGATTAATTCAGAGTTCATGTTAATAGCACAGGCAAATACATTGAGGACAAATTGAGAGGGTAGACTTAAAGAATCTCTAGGAGGTGGCAACTTGGTAAGCATAGAACAGTTTCAGTAGAGTTTACATCAGTGAGTGAGTAACTATTTCCTCCTACTCATACAGGAGGAAGTAGTGAGTACTGCTTTTGTTTCTAGAGTAAGAAATTGGATGGACAGTGGGACATTAATTCTGTGATTAAGATCATAGGAACTCATGGTTGGAAGGGAAAATGATGAGTTCCCTGTGGGACATGTTACATGTAGAAATATCCATAGGAGCACAAAGTGAAATGAAGACCGTTAGACACATTAGTCTGGGGACTATTATTGACAACTGTCCTGATACATATAATTGGCAGCAAGGTCAAATGTATGTGAAACTCCAGCATTTGAATGGTCATCAGGGGGAAGCTCAGACAGTAAGAACATAGGGCCTAGATCAAGTCCAACAAAACAGTAGGATTTAAGACATGATTGGAGGAAGGAAAGAATAAGGTAGAGTGAATAAAAGGTAGAAGAAATTGGTGAACTTTTGGTGGAATTTGAAACCAGGAGCACTTTAACAAAAAGGATCACCACAGAATATGGTCACAAACTACAGACAGGTCAAGGTAGATAGAGAAGTTTTCAGGGTCACATGGATGCCCTTGGTAAGCATAGAACAGTTTCAGTAGAGTTTACATCAGTGATTAATGGGTTGAGAATGGAAAAGAATATTAGAAATTGGAAATTGTAAGGGTAGACTATTTTAAGAATCCTTGTCATGAGAAAATACTGATAGAATGCTGTTACCTAGGTAACTTTAGGGCAAGTGGTAGGTTTTACATATCTATAACTACATACATATGTAAGTACATGTTCATTAAGTATTACTAATTCATATATACATGGATAGAGAAATGAAACTTGATTGCATTTTATTTGTGGGAAGGTCTAGCAAATGAATATCTAGATGCTAGAAAGGGGTGATTAAACAGTCTTTGAAGATGGTGCTAGGAGGGGATGATATTGCATACCTATAGAAATTCACCTGTTAGAATCTGATGAAGGGAAGCTTATCTTCTCCACTGAGAAAGGGGCCAGGCTTGAAAGGAAGGTACAAATATGGGTACTTAAAATATCTTGGGACAGGAATCTAAGATTCTTTTCCAATGAGTATTTTTTTTTTTTCGGTCATTTGAGAGGCTATTTACTAAGAAGGATGGGGTGCTACTAAAGTGGGTGTTAAAAGGAGAGATATGGGGCTGGGGGGATATAGCTCAGTTGGGAGAGTGCTTGTCTTCCATTCACATGTCCCTGGGTTCAATCCCCAGCATCACGGGGGGGTGGGGTGGGGGGAAGAGAGAGAGAGTTATGGTGATGGAGACACGTTTTTGAAACAAGCTTAGAAATTAGAAAAATATTGACCCTCTTTTCTGGCTCCCAGGGAGTGGGAGAATGAGCATCAGCCACTTGAGTGTAGAATCCCTGACAAGAACCAGAACTGTTGAAGAGGGCTGCAAATCACACACAGCAAGATGGCAGGGGACAGGAGTTTTGTTTACAGACTGAAGAGACGCCATGGTGTGATGGCCCAGTGGGGCAGGCCTTGGGATGTCATATGGCATCTGAGGACAAGCCTCAGGAGTTGTTTTGGTATTGGCATAGGAGGAGGCATCTTAGACTTCAATGATGTGCATTTCACTGTTCTGCAACTTGTGACCTTTGCCCAGAGTTTTAGATAGAAGATTCATAACAAATTGTTTTCTATGCATAATTCATCTCTGAAGGGAATGAAGGATGTAGAAAGGCCCAGCTACTCAGAGGGATCTGTTGGCTTTTTCACTCAGTAGAAATAGGGCAGAGTCACAGGAAAAGTACTGTCAGGTCCAGTGTCCTAAAGTGAAAAGTCCTGACAGTCCTCAGAGGAATACATGGTGACAAATAATGGATTTCATTCCTTAAGAGACATGCCTGAAGAAAAGTTAGGAGCATAGTTCATAAATTTCTGTGTAGCCCAGTTACTCTTCAAATGTCATACACTTGATTCTTTGGTTTCTCTTGTACTTAGTGTAAATAGTTGAATCTCAAAGAACTCAAGAAATGAAACTACTTCTCTAAACTGTAGAAATTGGAAAATATCTAAACACATGTCCAAGCCCACCCACCTTCCTTGCACAGAGAAAAAATTGAGACTGTCAATTCTCCCAGCCTCAGGAAGGAAGCTGTGCTTTTCTCCTGTCCCATTGCTTTTTCTCCTCGAATGAATACTTTGACAAACAGATTTCATATGCAGGCACAGGCATTTAAGGACTCCAGACTGACCTTTGTCTTAGGAAATCAGTCTTGCATTTGAAAGTGTTTTTTTTTTTTTTTTGGCTTGCTGTCAGAGATGTAGGATATATTTAAATCTCAGCAGGTTCTAGAAGAGTTCCCATAAGTCATACTCCCCCTTCTTAATATTGCAAGGTATGCCTCATGGAGTTAGGTTCACAGGTGAATATTTATTGCCACTCAGAATCTCATAGATTCTTTTGGAGGATGGTCTTTAAGATAATCAGGGTATTATGTAGCACTGAATGGCATTTTAGAGTTTCTTCTTTGCCTTAATATTTTGTAGGACTCTACAGAGGTAGGTGTGTGTGTGTGTGTGTGTGCGCGCGTGCGCGCGTACACCTATGCTTATGTGTTTGCTAAAAGTAAGGATTCAGTGACTGATATTTAGTGTGTACTGTGCTTTTGATCAAGCCAACTTCTTACCTTTAGAGGCAGAACTAGGATTCAGAGTCCTAAAGTACCTCGAAGCTTAGTGACTTCTACAATGGGCACCGTGGGAGGGAATCTAGATGAACTTGCTCCAAGTACCCTTTTCCTTAGGCTATTTGAGAACATGTCTTCAGAACTCCTAGGTTTCAGTTTCTCTTCCTCATCTCTGCCATCACCTGCTGCCTAAAGGCATATGGGTGCCCAAAGTGGAGGACAAGGGTGTTTCTCAGACTAATAGGTCTACAGTATGAATACATCATAAATACCGTTTAAATCTTTCTTCTGTTATTTGCGTGACTCTGAGAGATTTTCCTGTGTGCCTGTATTTCCTTACCTGTAAAGTAAGCCATTCTATAGGTTAAATTATTTACTTGCTAACTGTATGTCAGTAAAGCTGGGAAAAATGTATATAACAGGTTAATGCAATGCCTTGCTCATAGTAAACTTTCAATAAAAGGCTGGCGGTAATAGTGGTGGCAATAACAATGATTGGTTCATGGGCCTTGATGTGTTCTCTGGGTAGTGTCGATTGCTGCTGAATGTATTAAAAGGAGATTGAAGATTTCATTTCTAAATTGAAGATCAAACCATAGTAAAGGAAAGTGTCAAAGACACGGGAAGAATAATGAACTTAAGATGAAAAACTTGTATTTAAAATTGAAAATTATTGGGCTGGGGATTAGCTCAGTTGGTAGAGTGCTTGCCTTGCATGCACACAGCCCTGGGTTCAATCCCCAGCACCAAAAAGAAAAAAAAAAAAGAAAAAAGAAAGACATTATGCTGTGGATATAACAGGATGAAAATGAACTGAAATGGTTTCAGGCATTTAAGACTTTATTATGCATAGAAGGTGGAGTAGGAGGCAGGATGTCATAGTTGGGGAAAGAATTAAATAAATTAATGTCATATTTTACGTTCCCAATACAGTACCTGGCATTTAGTGCCTTTTAAATGAGTGGTGGCTATCTAATAGGTTTATCTTTGAATTCAACTTCTCCAAATTATGTGTAAATCCAGAACATTGGTAAGAAATCTAAGGATAAATATGTATATTTGAGAGAGGGCTACCCTTAAATGTCAAAGTTGGAAGGAAAAGGGAAAGTGAAGCATGGGAGTGTAGCACAGTCGTAGAGTGAGTGCTTAGCATGCATGAGGCCCTGGGTTTAATTCTCAGTACTCCCCAAAAAGAGGGTTACCAGGCAGTTTATAGCCTCACATATGTGATACTTGCAGTTCTTTCTTGCTGATTTTTTTTTTTTTTGGTACCATTGTTGAACCTACAAGCACTTAACCACTGAGCCCCTTCCCCAATCTTTTTTATATTTTATTTTGAGACAGGGTCTTGCAAAGATGCTTAGGGTTAAGATGCTGAGTTGCTGGGACAGGCTATGAACTTGTAAACCTCCTACCTCAGCCTCCTGAGCTGCTGGGATTTAGGCATGATCTGCTGTGTCACGTGACACATTGTAGTTCTTAAAATGCTACTGCAGGCCAAGATGAGAGTGAAATTTTAAGATGAAGATTTATATAGACATAATACACTAATGCCATTGAAAATAGAAATTAGATGTCTAATTACAAATCCAGGTTCTACAGAACATTGGAAGAGAAGTAAGGTTGACCCGAGGAAGCAGTTTGCCATGTATGACTTCAACTTTGTTTCTTAACACTCAAGCACAGTTTTGCATATTAATAAAAATATACATATTTTAGGATATAGTTTGAGAGAGCTGTATAATCATGTTACCCACACCCCAGGGAAGCCACAGAACATTTCCATCACCCTGAAAGTTCCCTCCTCCTCCTTTGTCCTACACCAGACAAACACTAATCTGATTTCAAACACTGTAATTTAGTTTTTCCTGTTCTAGAACAAATGTAAATTGGTCATACAGTAGATATTTTTTTGTGTCTGACTTCTTTCACACAGTATTAATGTCAGTGTC